TTTTTTTTTTTTTACTTTTTTAATGCATTAGTGCTATTAGTGGTGATATTTTTAGTGGGATGAATCATTGTTGCTAAAACATATCTTCGCACCATCATTTTGATGAAAATGATTTGATAAAATTTATGGATTTGACTTTCATTTTTTTTTTCTTTTTTCTTTTTTTAAGTTGTCATTTTAATTTGTGAGAATATTTGAGCTTAATAGGTTTATTTTAGAAGTGATTCGATAATTTAAATTGTTTATTTTTGTTTACTCGTTAAGTATAATATTTATGTAAAAAATTTAAATAATTGGACATTGTATCCAAATCATCAAAACAGGACCTATGGTGGATTTTGCGGCTTCCTCAAGTTCTCTCATTTTGAGATATAAATATGAGACAAACCTAACTCAAAAACTATTTTGCATAATTTCAATCTAGTTTTTAAGGAATGGGTTTCTCTCATGTCCTTAATCGGATTAGAGAAGTGTTGTTGGGTCTATTGGACCTACTTTCAAGTCTTATTTTAATAATCCGAATCGTTTATATTTTAAGATTCGTTGAGTACATTATTTCTATAAAAAATCAAATTGATATGATAACAAAAATTACATGTTCAAATCAGTTTTATATAATAAAAAAATGAACGACAAGAAAAAAAATAAACAAGCCCAGTCCTTTTTAAAAGGGGAAAATATTATTTTTGTGGCAGGTGAGAAAAATATTTACATATTAATCAAAATTTTGTAATATTAAGGGGCTTTTTGGCAACACGATAAATAAGTTACTTATTAATTTATTTTGATCATATCATTTTTTTTATTTTTTTTACATCTTTTTAAAATAAAAAAAAACAATTTTAAAAGCCAAACTTATAAAAACAAAAAAAAATCATGGAATTACATGAAATTGATATTTATTTTTGAACTTTATACTGATTTGGTATTTTTCCCCATTAAAAAGTGGGGGTATAATAATTCGTTTATATATTATAGCCTTCGTTTAGAATGTGGATTGACTTTTTAATTTTTTTAATTATTTTAACTTGATGCTAAAAAATTTCGTTTTGAATAAGTTTTTGATTTTTTTGATTTTTATGAGAGAAAAAAAAATAAAATGATTATGATTTGGATATGATTTTTTTTACTTTTATAAGAGAAAATATGAAATAATTGTAATTTGAATATGACATTTTATCTGATTAATTTTTTAATTTATTTTATCTTTTAGTGACTTGGGAGGCCTCTCCTCTCTTGATCTTCGATTCCACCACCAACTCGTCGGCGTTGGCGTCGGCGTCGGCGTCATCCACTCCGCCGACAGCCTGTGATCGCCGACTTCCACTACCGTGTTGCCGTCTCCGTCGCCGTCCTCGCCAAAACAAACCCCCCTCTCTCTCTTCTCCTCAACTCCAACTCCTCACCTCCGTCGCTGCCTTGCCACCGACTCATCACCAATCGTCGATCGAAGAACCACCGCTTGTATCGGCGGCGGTGTTGATATCATCAGCGCCTGTGACATTAGTCGTCGCGATCGCTGAATTGGCGATGTGAGGGCTCCAAATCTGCTGGATCTGTGATAGATCTGAGTTGTGGTAACCCTTCTCTCTCTCCTCTTATACAAATTTCAATTATATACGGTTTGGATTTTGTATTGGGTGTGTGCAGATTTGGATTACAGATTTTGCAGATTTTGTATTGTGCAGATTTGGATTACAATTTATCTTATTGTATTGTGCAAATTTTGCATTTTATTATGGTGTCTTCTGGGTGTGTGCAGATTTGAATGATATATATATTGAGTTATATCAGACAAATCTATAGTTATTGAATTCAAATTCTGCACAGACCAATCTATAGATATATGGAAAAGTATTTTTAAATGCTGGGTTCAATAGAGTTATTGAAAACATGTTTATTGAATAGATATAGATATATGGTAAGATTGGTCGGTTACTGAATAGACAAATGTTAAAAACATGTTTGCTGTGCAGATTTAGATTACATGACTTGAAACAGAATAGATATATGGTAGATATATGGTAAGTCATGTTTTGAACCATATGGAATCATAAAACATGTTTGCTGTGCAGATAACCAACCAATCATAAAACATGTTTACTGTCAGATTGAGATTGAACCATAAAACATGTTTGTTGTGCAGATTCGGACATGGATCTACATGATTTGAACCCAGCACTACTATTCTAACATTTGTTTATTGAAAACATGACTTACCACATTTGTTCATGTTTACTGAATAGATTGTAAAAGAAAAACCAATGACTTTAACCAAACATAGGCCTACTAACCGATTCTGTTTCAAATGTTAAAACATGACTTTAACCAATAGAGTATTGACTTTTCTACGCCAATTTAGTGTTGAAAACGTGACTTTAACTGCTGCCAATTTAGTGTTAAGAACATGACTTTAATTGCTGGGTTCAATAGAATTGATTTGGGTAATTGAAAACATGACTTTAGTAATTCTCATTTATTCGGGTAATTGTTCTTCTTCTTGGAGTCTCAAAAAGCCTCCACCTTTATGCTAATGAAGTCTCAAAAAGCCTCCACCTTTATGCTACTAATGTGTCTCTTTGGCATTCATGAATTCAGATTTGGCAAGAGCATTGGCTGCTCCGGATACAGACCATCCAAATGGAACACCAGGCCATAAGAATTATGGGTTGAGTGTTCTTCAGCAACATGTGGCCTTTTTTGACATGGACGACAATGGAATCATTTACCCTTGGGAGACATATACTGGTAATTTCCATGCATTTACTTTGTCATGCTATCATTTGCTTCCTACTAGACCATAACTTCACCTTTCTGAAAATAAAATAATGAGGAAAGAAAGACAGAAAATTTGATTTGATTGTTTTTGTGCATTTTTGTCAAGATGAAACTGTTGGTCAAGGGCTATGGCCTTGACTATTCAAGTTTCCCAAGTTTTATCTTTGGCCATGCCAATATGGTGGCTGGTTGAATCACTCTACTGCCCAGAAAAATGTCGGGTCATGAGTTGTCTCACACTACGTTTGGATGGGGTGGTTTGGTGAGAAATGATGCAAAAGTGAACTCTTTTCTCATTTTCAATTTATCAATTGTTTATAAATTGAGTGAGAAATGGTGAGAAAGAGAATTTTTTTACTAAGGCTATGTTTGGAGATTTGGAAATGGAAAGAGAAAAGGGATTTAGAGAGAGATTTGGAAATGAAAAAGGGAAAATATAAGTGAAATGTGAGAAAAATATAATTACATTTGATACATCTTTCCTCTCTCTTTCCAAACCCCTTCTCAAAATTCATGAACCAAAGCAAGTCTGTTTCCTCTCTCTTTTTCCCTTCTCGAAATATGATTTCAATTGTTACCATAACAGGGTGTGATATGTAGTTTAGAGTGGGAGGCTATTGCCATCTTGATGAGGGCATAATTTCTGAAACTAAGATGACAATGATCCACGCTAGTACGTACCCTTTTAAATTTTTTTAATTTTTTTTTAACAATCAGTAGGAGGGGGAAGAGGCAAGGGGAAGTTGCATCACGCAACAGGTAAGTTCGAACCCAAACATCACCCCTGGCGAGGGAGGACCTCATCTACTGACCCAATCCTTGGTGTTACTCTGGTACATACTTCATAGAGTCAAATTTGAGAAAGTAAAGAGTCAGTATTGTAATTTCATTGTCCTGATTGTGGCATGAAAAGCTCTCTTTCCCTTTCAATAGTTTAGCAAACTCCTAAACAGCCTCGCTAAGTTGGAACAATTAGAAATTCTGATTCATAGTCAAATGTGAAGCATGGCATGAATCTCTCGCTATTACAAATCTAGCAAGTTTGAGTTAAAATTAGACTGTCTTTTTAGAGTTCTTTTCAAGAATTCAGTGGTTCCTCGTGCACTGGATATTTTATATCACTGCTGCAATGGGATACACAATAACGACATCTATTAGTATGGTGTGAGTATAATTTTAATAGACTTGCTTTTCGGTTTTGAATCTCCTTATTTGTCTTGTATTGTCTTATTTATAGTAGGGGGAGAATTGTTCCCAATCCACTGTGTGAGTTAGAGGCTTTGTGCGGTGTAGATATACCATAAAATGATTTAATTTGTTTATTTGTTATTTGTAAATTATTCATAAACAGAATTATATTAATTTAGTAATTATAATTATGTGATCCTATATATATAAAAAATTGTGGATTATTTTAAAATTATACTTATCGTCTATTTTTTTAAGACAAATATATATGATGAAATAATGTAGTTATAATTATCTCATCAATCTAATTTTTCTCATAACTAATTTATACATAGGATTTGAAAAAATGAACAATTCAAATTATCATAATAACGGACTAAAATAATATTAAGATTTGAATTGTTCATTTTTTTAATCAACATTTGAGTCTTAGATCACAGTTTTTGAGTCTTTCTCATTACTCAAATTTTAAAATCACTAAATGATTCACCTAATGATCATTGTTCGAGTTTAGAAAAAATAAATATAAAAATGAAAACAAAAGCAACAATTGTCACATTTTTTTTCAAATACTCCTCCACAAAAATGCATAGTCAGTCTATACATGCGTAATAAAATTTTCAATAGATTTCATTGTGTACTCACCTTAAACTGGGGGTATGACTCATGAGAGCAGGGGCATTATTCATTCTTCATAGCAGCCGGTTTTAATTAAACGATATTCAAAATATTTTACAAACATAGTGTACATGAATTTACAAACATAGTTTACATGAATTTACAGAGAATCACCGAACTTCGCATCACAATCAGAAATCGTCAAAACCACAAACAATTAACTAAATTTTCAGCAATTAAAGCAACAATAGGATGAACAAACAATCTCAATGCAAATAACCATAGAGAATTCACAACAATTGGGATTCTTTGTGCTATATAGCATAAATCTGCTGATCAACATTTGATATGTTAAAAAATAAAATCTAATCATTTCAGTTTTCGCTTGAAATTTCAGATTTTGGCTTGAAAGGCTTGCGAAGAAAGCAGAAAGTTTTCAGGTGAGA